CCTGCTGACAGGATGCTGCTGGCTTTCTTTCCATCAGTGGAAGATGAGAACAGGGTGCCTTTTTGTCTCAGTTGTTAGCGGCTAATGCACTAATGTCAATGGAGATCTAGCAATACCATCCATTTAGAACTCCCTCTTAATAAAGTAGTAGAAAAGAAGCATTGCCTTTCTGTAATGCCAACAGTCTTGGTGTCATTCCACTAACTGATTAATTATATAGGTTTTTAAATGCTCAGTGACAAACTCTACAACAGTACTTGATTCAGAAAAAGTATAATTGTTATTTACATGTGTGAAAACGTATAAACTGGCACAATCATACTGGCACTACCACCACCACCACCACCAACCATTTTGTGATAACAACGGGGTAATGGGATGACCCATTATAAAGATCTTGCCACAGTATCATGATGGATTGTTACCACTGAAACGGGCTTTTGGGTAATATCTATAGGTCACCATCTTGATTTGATCTGCATGATGAATATCATTGAGCACTTTATTATTGTTAATTATGGTTGTTTTTATTCTGTTTAAATAGTTTTATATTGGCACATGGTTGCCCTTGTTTGTAAGCTGCCCTGAGCCCGTTCGCGGGGAGGGTGGGATAGAAATGCAATAATAAAATAAATAAATAAATAAATCATATATTATGATTAGCAGGTGTCACCACCTTATAAAATTGACAGGAAGTGTTTTTGTTGTTGTTGTTCATATCGGGCAATAGGGTAAGGAAAGTGAGAGATGGTTGACCCATGAATCTCCAGTAGTGGTGATAACCCAAAGGCTTGGCACTCTTGATTTCTGCCCTATTCAAGAACATACTGAAAACTTTATCCCGGAAACTGTTTTGTCTCCTTAGTGATGCTCACCTCACCTATCTACATTAATTCTGGAGCATTTTCAGAAGTTTCCATTGGGTTTCATCTATGGGACTGTGAGCAGTTCTGCTTAAAGAATAGCTCTTTCCCATCTATCTTCCTCTACTGTATTCCCTTACTGTTTCCCAAAAAGTGGCTCCTGGAGAATGAGAAATCCTCAGAAGAGGCACAGGACATGATCTGTGAGTCTGCAGTGTGAAGGGAGAAAAATAATCTCTCTTCTATGAGAAGAAACCCTTTCCACTCATGGAAGACAATCCAAGCTGTATTGTGCAAGAGCTAATCAAAATTTGTTCTGGGATGGAGAACCAGAAGTGGACTAGCGATGGCGGTCGCTCTCTCCGACCCGCGGAGGAGCGATTAGCATACCAGCAACATGGAGGGGTGCCACCTCAAGTGGCACCTCCACGGAGCTCTCGGGAAGGGCTCCAAGCCAGAGGGCTTTTGAGGGTTAGCCTCTTCAACGGCTATTTGCTGAAGAGTAGAGGCTTCCCTCCACCCTGACGGTCCGGTTGCTGAGTGGCCTTCGGGCACAAGCTAGTTCGACTGGGGCAAGTGCGAGAGATTCAGCGGAATAACGATGATTGGGAGCAAGGTCTGATTGAAGACCGACAATGAACGTGAGTTCTGTTTGAGCAGACTGATTGATAAGCAAATCCCCCCCCCGTGGAGAGCAGGGAGGGACGCCTCCTATGCGCATAAAGAGTCAAGCGAAGCAAAGGGGGAGAGGGGGGAAGCAAACAGCGATTTGTTTTGAGAGACTTATCTGAGAGCCTGCTGAGAAACGA